GGAGACAAAAAATGTTATTAATGGAAGCAAAGAAGAGAATGTATGAAAGTATAGTAGTACCAACACTCTTATATGGGTGTGAAGCTTGGGTTGTGAATGCAGCAGCGAGGAGGCAGTTGGAGGCAGTGGAGATGTCCTGTCTAAGGGCAATGTGTGGTGTAAATATTATGCAGAAAATTCGGAGTGTGGAAATTAGGAGAAGGTGTGGAGTTAATAAAAGTATTAGTCAGAGGGCTGAAGAGGGGTTGTTGAGGTGGTTTGGTCATTTGGAGAGAATGGATCAAAGTAGAATGACATGGAGAGCGTATAAATCTGTAGGGGAAGGAAGGAGGGGTAGGGGTCGTCCTCAAAAAGGTTGGAGGGAGGGGGGTAAAGGAGGTTTTGTGGGCGAGGGGCTTGGACTTCCAGCAGGCGTGCGTGAGTGTGTTCGATAGGAGTGAAGGGAGACAAGCGGTATTTGGGACCTGACGATCTGTTGGAGTATGAGCAGGGTAATATTTAGTGAAGGGATTCAGGGAAACCGGTTACTTTTATATATCCAGACTCGAGTTCTGGAAATGGGAAGTACAATGCCTGCACTTTAAACGAGGGGTTTGGGATATTGGCAGTTTGGAAGGATGTGTAATAGGATGGTGTATATATATAATTGGAGTCCCGATATTATATTCTATAGGGAGTTTATTATACATATTTCAGGTCACTTTTTATATTGTATCTTTATATATGCTTCTAAACTATTGTATCTGGGCACCTCTGCAAAAACAGTGATTATGTGTGAGTGAGGTGAAAGTGTTGAATGATGATGAAAGTATTTTCATTTTGGGAATTTTCTTTATTTTTGGGTTACCCTGCCTAGATGGGACACGGCTGACCTGTTGAAAAAAAAAAATTATGAATCCAGCCTATGAGGGGATACCCAATAAGATTTAATTACTCTAATTATTATGGTGAAATGCTATGCATTTAGGGGTTTTACAGCACCTGGAAATTGAGAGGTAAACAGGTCTGATCCAAAAATGGGAAGGAGATGTTCAATCCAGCAACAAAAGAGGTCTTCAATGGCCACAAGGCACCCCATCCCCCATAGGCAATGTGGAAGGATCTAAGAAAGATGCAAGGATAAAGGTTTTGTAACTTTACATGCACAGTATATATTATATGGTTGACAAGTTGGTTAACAAAGAAGTTAGGTGTCTGAAAATGATGTAGAGGTGTTTTCGCCGGGTCAAAATCTGGAAAAGACCCAGGCCGGGACATGTACTGGTGAATCATTCAAGTTCAATGTACAGGAGGGCCCTGCTTATACAGCAGGTTAGGTTCTGTGCTACTGCTGTAAATTTATAACAATAATAATAATAGTGCTGTAAAGAGAAACAGCCCTTTTTTTCACTTTCAAATGCATATAAATGCCTGATAACATGTTTATTTATTATTATTATTATTATTATTATCATACTGGCCGATTCCCACCAAGGCAGGGTGGCCCGAAAAAGAAAAACTTTCACCATCATTCACTCCATCACTGTCTTGCCAGAAGGGTGCTTTACACTACAGTTTTTAAACTGCAACATTAACACCCCTCCTTCAGAGTGCAGACACTGTACTTCCCATCTCCAGGACTCAAGTCCGGCCTGCCGGTTTCCCTGAATCCCTTCATAAATGTTACTTTGCTCACACTCCAACAGCACGTCAAGTATTAAAAACCATTTGTCTCCATTCACTCCTATCAAACACGCTCACGCATGCCTGCTGGAAGTCCAAGCCCCTCGCACACAAAACCTCCTTTACCCCCTCCCGCCAACCTTTCCTAGGCCGACCCCTACCCCGCCTTCCTTCCACTACAGACTGATACACTCTTGAAGTCATTCTGTTTTGCTCCATTCTCTCTACATGTCCGAACCACCTCAACAACCCTTCCTCAGCCCTCTGGACAACAGTTTTGGTAATCCCGCACCTCCTCCTAACTTCCAAACTACGAATTCTCTGCATTATATTCACACCACACATTGCCCTCAGACATGACATCTCCACTGCCTCCAGCCTTCTCCTCGCTGCAACATTTATCACCCATGCTTCACACCCGTATAAGAGCGTTGGTAAAACTATACTCTCATACATTCCCCTCTTTGCCTCCAAGGACAAAGTTCTTTGTCTCCACAGACTCCTAAGTGCACCACTCACTCTTTTTCCCTCATCAATTCTATGGTTCACCTCATCTTTCATAGACCCATCCGCTGACACGTCCACTCCCAAATATCTGAATACGTTCACCTCCTCCATACTCTCTCCCTCCAATCTGATATCCAATCTTTCATCACCTAATCTTTTTGTTATCCTCATAACCTTACTCTTTCCTATATTCACCTTTAATTTTCTTCTTTTGCACACCCTACCAAATTCATCCACCAATCTCTGCAACTTCTCTTCAGAATCTCCCAAGAGCACAGTGTCATCAGCAAAGAGCAGCTGTGACAACTCCCACTTTGTGTGTGATTCTTTATCTTTTAACTCCACGCCTCTTGCCAAGACCCTCGCATTTACTTCTCTTACAACCCCATCTATAAATATATTAAACAACCACGGTGACATCACACATCCTTGTCTAAGGCCTACTTTTACTGGGAAAAAATTTCCCTCTTTCCTACATACTCTAACTTGAGCCTCACTATCCTCGTAAAAACTCTTCACTGCTTTCAGTAACCTACCTCCTACACCATACACTTGCAACATCTGCCACATTGCCCCCCTATCCACCCTGTCATACGCCTTTTCCAAATCCATAAATGCCACAAAGACCTCTTTAGCCTTATCTAAATACTGTTCACTTATATGTTTCACTGTAAACACCTGGTCCACACACCCCCTACCTTTCCTAAAGCCTCCTTGTTCATCTGCTATCCTATTCTCCGTCTTACTCTTAATTCTTTCAATTATAACTCTACCATACACTTTACCAGGTATACTCAACAGACTTCTCCCCCTATAATTTTTGCACTCTCTTTTATCCCCTTTGCCTTTATACAAAGGAACTATGCATGCTCTCTGCCAATCCCTAGGTACCTTACCCTCTTCCATACATTTATTAAATAATTGCACCAACCACTCCAAAACTATATCCCCACCTGCTTTTAACATTTCTATCTTTATCCCATCAATCCCGGCTGCCTTGTTTATACTATCATATATTAAGTGAAGTGCTGTAAAGTGGGCCCTCCTGTATAATAAAACAATAGTGTAAAACGAACTGATGAACACATGGGATAAATAAGGCTACGTTCATTAAACCCCCCAAAAAGAACTGCCCAAATTTTTTTAGGTGTCAAAATTGTATAAAAAAACTGACAATGTAATTGTAGGTTGATGTTGTGATGTGTGTCAGTGATAGATCTTGTATTCACATCTCTGCTAACAGACAGGAGTGCCTTAGTGTTTGGGTGTCCCACTTGCTGCAAGTGTATGGGGGTTATAAAGGAGGGGGTATGGGTGAAGGGGGTTAGGTGTAAGAGATAGGAGACTGGGGGAGAGGGGAGGAACTGATGGACTGCTGGCATTAGTGGCAGGCACTGAGCAGTGGAGGGACAGGAGCTGGAGGTTGGTGCCAGAAGGTGGGAGATGCTGGGCAGTGGAAGGTGGGGGAAGAGTGAGGTAGTGTGATGGTAGAGGTGTAGGTAGCCTGGTGTGGGTGATGGGTGACTGGGTGGGTGTGCGGTTGATGGTGTGGGTAATAATGAGGGTGGAAGGTGGCTACATGACTAGGTGTGTGGATGGTATGTTAGAATGTGTGAGCCATGAAAGCATGGGAAAGGTGTGGGAGTGGGGTTGTGTGAGCTTGAATCTATGGGTAAGTGGTGTGGGTGGTGGGTAAGTGTGCAGCAAGTAGTATGGGCAGTAATGGGCTTGAAGCTGTGAGGGAGAGAAGCGAGTGAAGGGTACGATTAGTACAGATGGTGGGCGAGTGTGTGGCTGGGGGTGTGGGCGGCAATGAGAATGGCGAGTGACTAGGTGTGTGGATGGCGTGTTAGGATGAAAGGTCGGGTAAGGTATGGGTGTAAGGTTGTGGAGAAATAGGAAATGGTGTGGGTGAGAGCATGGGGCTGGGCAAGGTGTAATGAGGCAATTGGGAAATGTGGCTGCAGGGGAATGGTTTAAGTATAAGCACGTGGCCATGGGGGGGATGGGGGGGAATGCATGGGCATGTTGTGTGGCTGGAGGTTGCTGGGTATGCAGCGGGGAATAAGTGGAGGCATGTGGTTGAGGTATGGTACTGAACGTGTGAGTGGAGCACCAAAACAAGGGAGGTTATGTACATTAATTAGGCCTCTCGCACAAGACAATGGATGCACCCATACTCTTACTGTGAGATGGAGACAAAAGAACCCAACACATACCACATTTTTTCCCCTAACACGTACTCTGCTGTGTAAACTCATCAATATGGCATGCTCAAAAATCTTTGCAACCGTGTTAACGCAGAGTGTTAATAGATCACATGTTAACCAACGGAATGCTGTACTATATACATTTAGCATCAATGGGGTTGCATTCTTTCATAACTCAAAATCAGTTCACATACTACTTGACTTTTACAGGCATAGGATTTAGCACAGGGACTGCCAAAACTACACTCAGGTTCAAATAGCCTCATAATATACACTCATCCTTTAAACATCTGGAGATCCAAAGCAAATTGTGTGCCTCTCTCTTCCTTGATTGGTAATTTATTATGCCTCTATTTATACTATCACCTCCAAGTGTGAGTTTTTGGGATGATTCTGAGATCAAAGACTCCCACAATGCATAATAATGAATTAAAAAAAAATCCACTAAACTTGTACCCACAAGACACAGAATACTTACCTCACAAAAAAAAAAAAAAAATAGGCCACCATGGGTACAATGATCCCTTCATCTCTCCCCTTTGTTACAAGGATTTGTAGTCCTGTTCTTGTAACTAAAAAAATGCTAATTATATACACACAAGGTATATACAGTACCACAACTACATTTCATTTAATGTATTTTATTTTGGAAAAAACGAAAGAAATGAACAAAATTAAGCAGTTTTACCACTGGGTTCTAATGGGAATTTAAAGGTTAATTCATTTTTGGAAACCCCACAAAGATTAGTGCCCTAAATATACAGGTACTGTATTCTATTTCAAACAATTTAACATACTCACCTGGTTAATAGTGTAAAGAGTACAGTACAGTATTACATTTAGAACATCACAGAAGAGTGTTAACAAACTTGCCCTTAAAATACTATAGCTCAAAATCCTCTATAAAGAGGATTCAAAATTATTTTCCAACATAAATAGTACATATTCATTGCATGTGACAATTTATTTAGCTGCTATAAAAAATATCCCTAAGCTCAACATTTAATATCAAAACTTGTTGTAACAATGTCAAATATTTGTGTATGAAATATACAAGAGTCGAGCCTACAGCAAAGTTGTACATACATTTACATTGAAGGAAAGGGATTGGGAGGGCTTAATAAATGGCTTTTCACAGAGGTTACTTTTTCTTCTTGCTCACCTTCTTGGAAGAGGCCGATGAAGACCTTAGTGAAATGACTACAACTATAATAACGACAATAATCACAATGCAGGCTACATATATAGCACTTGGGTTTTCATGTAACCAGTCTGCACACCATTCAGTGTAGTCATCACTGCAGAAAAAATAAGTGAATTAGTCAAATATATCAAATGAAATGGTATTTAAATAAACATTCTGTACACAAACAAATGAATATACAATAGAATGTCAATTAACACATTAGTTATGTTCCTGAAAACTGAGTGAAAGACGAAATTGTGTTAAACAAACTAAAGAATTAAGGGGGAAAAATAAGGTTACGTTCCTTGGAACCCCCAAAAACGGCAAACTTTTTTTTTTAGGTCTCCAAACTGCAAAAATATATAAATGATTATGTAATTGTAGTTCACTGTCATGATGTATTCTGTTTAATGCATTGCTTATAGCTACAAATGTTACAGAAATAATATTTATTACCATTTACTGTGGTTGTGGTATATGGCAATGATTCTGAACAGAGTGGAGAGCAATGCTGTGGCCTACTGGGCTGAGGTGGAAGGTTGTGGATTATTTGCTGAGGTGGATGGTTGAGGCTTTGGCACTAAAGTCAATGCTTGTACTGGAGTAGTCAGAAATTTTGAAATGTGTCTTTGGTCTCTTACCCTGCAATGCTTTATACAGTTGATGGTACGGCATCAGCTGCTCTAGACCTTAGAATATATTCTTGTAGTTATCATTACTTAATGATACTGAAATGTGTGGCAAGGGTTGATGTGGCCCTGTACAATACATGTGCAAAAATATAAAAGGCCATCATCTGCTATCAGCTATCACTTGCATATATCAGTAAACAATACCATATTTTACCAGCTAAGACTATTTTAATAAATAAATGTGTCCAAAGTGATACCCACCATAATTTATCTGTAAGCTATTCAGAAAACATGAAACAATAATAAAAACACAAGAAATGTTTCTCAAGGCTATCAGCACATATTACTGTTGGAGTGAAGATTGTGATGGCCCAGGACTGCTGTATCTCTTACTACTATGAAATTAACTACCAGAATGCTTTTGCAAATATGTATACACTATTTAGTACATATTAGTAAATTTATTACAATAAAGGAATAATAAAATTATCATTTCCCTCACATTTTCACTTATAACAATATTAGTATACAGAATGGTGGGTGGGATGCTCTTACACTGTTAACCCTTAACACCAACACCCCAACTACCCTCACACACGTCCTGGTTTCTTTACTACAATATACGAGTGTACCAACTAAACTGATGGACAAATATATATGAAGTAGGTATGTATACACATTTCATCCAGGTTTCTTTCATTTTTTTAACATTTATTATGCAAAGGAAGATAAACAAAGGGTATATAAACAGAGTTCCTCATGGACAGGTGCAGTTCACATCTATCCCTCTCAATTTCTATACAAACAGTCTCCAACATGCTCATATTTGAGCACAATAAGTAAGTAAATTTATTGAGGCACAGGTACACAAAAGTGCAATTATCATACATAGTGTAACTCACCATCTAGGATAGCCCCCCCCAAAAAAAGTCAATTTACTTACTGATATGAAAACACTGCATGTATTGACTGGTATGCAGGAATTAACTACAGTAACTGTAGTGTAAAGCACCCTTCTGGCAAGACAGTGATGGAGTGAATGATGGTGAAAGTTTTTCTTTTTTTGGGCCACCCTGCCTTGGTGGGAATCAGCCAGCTTGTTAAAAAAAAAAAAAATAAAATACAGTGGAACCTTGGTATATCAGTATACGACCAGCTCCCTACTCGAACAAAGTTCAGCAATCTATCAAACCAATACGACCTGCCAGAACATCGCTGTAAACTATTTCGTGTTTCTTCACATTTTTTGGTGTTTTTTGTATTATTTGTATAAATAAGTCAACTATGGGGCCTACAACAATTAGTGATAACAGCCAACCAAACAGAAAATTGGTTGGGAAGAACTTGTTCGATACTCAAATGGAGCGGCACTCGAACAGCCTTCTGGATTGAATTAAGGTCGCATGCTGAGGTACCACTGTAATTTAATAAAAAACACAGATCTGGGAAATGTATGGGACGCACATGTACAGACCAATGAGATGCAAGAGGTGGGATGGGGGAAGAAGTTAGGCCTCCCTTCACAAAGACCATGGACTGACCCACAGCAGGCTGCCTGCAAGCCTACTAGATGAATTGTGTATTTACAAGAAGAGTTGTTTGGCTTTAATAATGAAGGTGGGTTAGAACATAACCTATTTTTCCCATAAGTTGTTCACTCCAGCTTTTGCATATTCATGTAAATGGGTTTTTCTGTTATGTATCTGAGCATGTGATTAATGAACAGAGGAAATGCTGCTTTAGTGGTTGGAATGCCTAGGTTTATTTTTGACCAGACTTTTTTTTAAATTTGTGTAAAATTAGTTTCAGATCTGTGTATAATTGACCAAATTACTGACTTCTGTGCATTTCATGGTGCTTCTGATAGCTGAATGGGTGGTTTCTTGTGCTCAGTCAATAGAACGGAAGGCATTCAAGGGAAATAATTAGAATTTTATCAACTTGAGCAATGGAATTTACTTAAAATGGGACTCAAAGTGGATGTAATCGTTGATGCGTAAATTGCAAATACACAAACATACACACCACATTTCCTACAACCAAACTGCTATGTAACCTTAAAAATAACTCACAAAGGTGTCTTTGGATGTGGAATTTCCTCTGCTCGAGCATTTCTGAAACCTTCTTGAGCAAATGATGTAAGGGAGCCAACATCAATACCAGGCAAGGTGTAACGAAACAGACGACCTTGACGAAACCTGAAAAAAGTTTAAATTTTTAAGTGAGAATTCAGTTAAAACTGCCAATTTGGCCACCAGTTAAAAGTCAGTCTCTAAATTTTCAATGATTCTCCTGGAGTGACCAGTACAAGGACCACCAGTACAATGCAGTCCAACAATTATATATGATACTAGTCACAGCCCTTCATTAACCCTAAAAATTTTATTCCAGATTCTGTCCAGATTCAGGGAAGTGTTCAGTGAGTGACTGGTCATTCTGAAAGAAAGTGACATTGTTTTAAGAAGCTTTAATGCTACAATGAAAGACTGTTGTAGTGACATAGTAAGGAATTTAAGAGCCAGAGGTAAATAGAGAGATTTTTAATTGAAGTGTATTTTAGAAAGAGGTCTGGTAGAGGCAATAAATATTTTGAGGAGAAGAAACAAGTACATAAGATATAACAGTGTACAATAACAGCAATTTGGAAGACTATATATTGATGAGCAAAATGTTGAGCAAAAGCCTTCCAGATGTATACATTTTTAAGAGTAATATGACAGATAACTGTTTAGTGGTACCTTGACTAAGAGGAAAGTTGAGTACATGGAGAATGGTGTTCGTGAGAAATGCGAATCAATGAAATAAAGAAGAGGACAATTACTAAAAGGTACAAGCAACTCTTGGGCAAAAGATGGGTAAGAGCAAAAAGTAAGAGTGGGTGGGAAGGTACTATAATAAAGATGCAGTCAAACCTCGGTTTTCACATGCCCTAGTTTGTATGTAAAACTATAGTTATTCTCTATAAAATGTATTTTTAGTTAATATTTTTGGGTGTCTGGAACAGATTAATTGGATTTACATTATTTATTATGGGAAATATTAACTAAAAATACATTTTTTAGAGAATAACTATAGTTTTACATACAAACAAGGGCATATGAAAACCAAGGTTTGACTGCACAAGAAACCATACCACGGGCGGGGATAGAACCCGCAATCAGAGAGTCATAAAACTCCAGACTGACGTGCTAGCCACTGGGTCAGCTGGCTATGGTTTGTTAGTGGCATGATTTGTTTGCAATTGTGTCATTACAATTTCACGAGTCATAGATTTAAGATTGCAGCCAACCTGCCTACCTATCACACGGCAGCCACAACATGCAATTTATTGCGGAAGTATCACGATGTTACCATCCACTTTAGCCACATGACATGCCTGCATGCTTAACTAATTACCCTGGCACCCACCAGCTTCCCCTCACCACACACCCAGTAACCTCCAACCATCCTACCTGTCTACCACACTCACTTCACAGCTCAGTATTGGTTAACCTCTACACACTTGTGAGGGAGGTAATAAGCAATGCATTGCTGGCATCAATGGCCTATGCATTTGCTCTTAACATTTCACAACAACCTGCTTCAGAGCTGAAGGAGTATACATAGTACTTGTGCAGATTTTTCTGTGGTGGGAAAGAGATGTATAGAAAATGGTGAAAAATAAAAGCAGACATGCAGACAGTTTCACTACCAAGACTAACATTTACATAATAGAGTACAAGTACAATACAGTACAGTGCATAGACAAAATGTCAAGAACACTAACTCAGGCTTCACAGACATCAGTTCTCCTGCAGCCAGGATGACCAAAATAATGCCTACGTAAAACAGAAATTAAACAAAGCCAAGCTGACAATTCAAGAAAATGAATTATGCAGACATAAGGATACGGAAGGTTTGTTGAAAAAAAAAAAAGCGTAAAAGCAACCATGATAGCAATCACTAATGCTGTACCACAGATATCAGGCTGCTCTAGTGTATTCAAAATTCTAGAAAAACAAATGTTACCCAAAAGTAACACTACCATTAGATGATACAAAGTTACCCCCAGTCCACCCCAGGCAGATACTACCTATTCCACTTCTGTTATTACAGATGCTCATGTCAGCCATCAGAAGTAAAGCTTTGTTCCTGCAGCTCTCTTAGGAAATGTCAAGGAAGAAAAGACACTTTCAATGAACTATAGTTTTGTTAGCCAAAAAGGTACTCACTACTCTACAGATCCTGAGGGTGTGCCTCTATGCTGAGGCCATGGGGAGAGTAGTACAATTATCTCATTCTAATTCTCTCTCTCACACTGTTTTGCATGTCCTCTGTACTTGATAAAGACTTGTAGGTAAACATCCTAACAATAAAAGATTTCCTTTTTGCTATGTCTTTTTCAGCACTTGTCTGCTGGCAGTAGCAATCCTACCAGATATTCCCATAATCTCAGGATCTTTAGGAGCATAATTCAGCAAATACAGAGGACTGCTCATACTGCAGGCTTGTTTGAGCATGATGAATCAGAGTGGACACACTTGACTTTTATGGTCTGACATGCTGCTGGATTAAGCAAGGCAACAATGATGAGATTCAGGGAAACTGGACAGCCAGACTCAAGTCTTGCGGGTGGGATGTACAGTGGCTACAGTCTGAAGATGGGGTGGGGTAAAGTGTAGTTTGGAGGGTCATTTGAATTATGATGTCTGTGTACTTCTGGAAAGATATTTATTGAATGAATGATTGTAATTCTTTTTGTTGTTCATCTTGCATGTGAAGATGATCGGTGTTAAAGAAAATTATGAAAAAGGAAATAAATTTGTAGGAGAAAAGGGAAAAGGGAAATTTATGAATGTGACAATGAATCATAAAAGTACTTCATTATTACCAAAGTAAATCTTTTAGTGTACTTACAAAAGGAAAGAAGGAAATTTTTTTACACCAAATCTTCGTGTTGTTTGTCCACCATCACTGTCACGGTTCATGACTGCTACATTTTTTTTGTTTCTCAAATTGGCACCAACTGCCTCAATAGTTGCCTGCAACTGAGTACAAGTGCCACAGTCTGAACGAGTGAACATCACTAGCCAGTCTCCAGTTGTGGCTCCAGTTGCAGCCTGAGTTAAATGCTGAAGCAAGATAAAACACAGAATAAGATCAGAAAATTTAATTACAATCCACATTAAAAAGCCATACGGAATTTTTCAAAGTATTACCATAAAAACTGAAATACTATATTCAACAAATATAAATAGGGAAGATTTGGCATTGCAATCTCTTTGAAAAACCACTTATATATTATTTTCCAAGGAAAGCACACTGAATGAAGAAGTTAAATGTAATGTTCTGTCTTTATCAAGTATCAGACTATTATAAGTAAATAATGAATCCAAGTGCCATAGGAAAACAAACAGAAGCCTGAGCAGATCTATGATTCATTATGGTAACATACACAGTGAAGTACATTTACAGAACAAATTGCAATGTAAATAAACAAGTTTGATTAAAAGTATTTCTGGCAGTTTGGCACATACACACATGATGATCATAAAATGTCAAGTACGTAGTGAACCTTATGGTAGCTTTCTTCAATGTTATGTGCCTGATTGTCTACTTTTTTTCTTTTTTTCTTTTTTTTTGACACTGGCAATCTCCCACTGATGTAGAGTGACCCAAGAATGGAACTACATTCACCCTTGAAGGGTTTACAGGGATTATACACAACTTGACTTAAGGGTTGGATTATGAAAAAAAAAAATGACTTTTGGGACTATATATTCCTTGACTTATAGTCCAGCTAGAGATGTTAACACACACATGCAGTAAACTAAGCCTATTTATTCCATGTAACGTAAACACTGTGTTTTTTACTCTTCTTTCAACAAACTTCCGCTGAAATATATAAAAACGATGTTCAATCCGAACCAACTATAATTTATATGCCTGGTATTAAGTAGTCTGTTAAGCATTAAGTTTAGTCTGCCCAAAATGCCCTGGCATGATAGTGGCTTTCTTTGTACTTAGCAAATCAAAATTGTAATTACACATTGTAAACTATGCAAAGAAATAAAATCCTTATTCCTTATCCCACCAAGGCAAGGTGGCCCAAAAAGAAAAATGAAAGTTTCTCTTATTAAATTTAGTAATGTATACAGAAGGGGTTACTGGCACCTTGTTCTTCTCTATATGTACTATTATTTTCCACTAAAATAAATGTAATGGTCACTGTACATATTTGCATTACTGTACAGTTACAGTTTTCTTTGTGTTACACAAATGTCAGCATAATTTTCTCTAGGTAGTAGGTTGGTAGACAGCAACCACCCAAGGAGGTACTACCATCCTGCCAAGCGAGTGTGAAACGGAAACCTGTAATTGTTTAACATGATGGTAAGATTCCTGATGTCTTTTTATTTGTCTCATAAACATGCAAGATTTCAGGTATGTCTTACTACTTCTACTTACATCACACTACACATGAATGTACAATGCATGTACAAGCATATATATACACATACCCCAATGGTTTTTTTCTTTTCTTTTCTTACTAGTTCTTGTTTGTTTCCTCTTATCTCCATGGGAAAGTGGAACAAAATTCTTCCTCCGTAAGCCATGCGCATCGTAAGAGGCAATTAAAATGCTGCGAGCAAGGGGCTAGTAACCTCTTCTCCTGTATACATTACAAAAGTTAAAAAGACAAACTTTCATTTTCCTTTTTTTGACCACCTTACTTCAGTGAGATATGGCTAATGTGTTGAAAAGAAGAAATACGCATGATACCAGGTATATCTTGCTACTTTTACTTACACTGAGATCACACTACACACACACACATATATATATGTATATAAACATTGTCTCTACATCCACAGCAGGACTCGAACCTGTTCACTGTGTATCAAAGTGTACTTTACCACGGAGCTAGACCTGTGAAAAGTACGGGCGCTTAGCCGAAGCTAAGTGACGTTTCCCCATACCCCTGGGCACCAAGCTCATTTTGAAAGTTATTTCATCGAATCCTGCCACATGCAGTGGACAATGAAAGAGATTTGAAATGCTTAACAATTCGCAAACAGGCAAAATTATTTACAAACATTGTCTCTATGTCCACAGCAGGACTCGAATCTGCTAACTCTGTATCAGTCTACAGTACTTTACCACGGAGCATGACCCACGAAAAGTATGGGCGCTCAGCCGAAGCTAAGCAATGTTTCCCCACTGCATGTGGCAGGATTCAATGAAATAACTTTCAAAACAAGCTTGGTGCCTGGGGGCAACATCGCTTAGCTTTGGCTAAGCGCCCAAACTTTTCATGGATCTAGCTCCGTGGTAAAGTACTGTGGACTCTGATACAGAGTTAGCAGATTCGAGTCCTGCTGTGGCCATAGAGACAACGTTTGTGTGTATGTGTGTATGTGTGTATGTATGTATGTGTATATATATACACCTACCATCCGACTTACGATATATATACAGTGGACCCTCAACCAGCAATATTAATCCGTTCCTGAGAGCTCATCGTTAATCGAAATAATCGTTAGTCAAGTTAATTTTCCCCATAAGAAATAATGGAAATCAAATTAATCCATGCAAGACACCTCAAAGTATTGAAAAAAAAAAATTACCACATGAAATATTAATTTTAATACACACAAACTGAAGAAGACATGCACAGTTACATGACACTTACCTTTATTGAAGATCTGGTGATGACTGATGGGATGGGAGGAGGGGAGAGCGTTATCTTCTTAGTGTTTAGAAGGGGAATCCCCTTCTATTAGCACTTGAGGTAACAAGTCATTTTCTGGGGTTACCTCCCTTGTTCTTTTAATGCCACTAGGACCAGCTTCCGAGTCACTGAACTTCTGTCGCACAACATATCTGTCCATAGATACCTGTACCTCTCGTTCCTTTATGACTTTCCTAAAGTGGTTCACAACATTGTCAATGTACAGGTTGCCAACACGGCTTGCAGTAGCTGTGTCAGGGTGATTTTTCATCAAAAAAGGTTTGCACTTCAAGCCACTTTGCACACATTTCCTTAATCTTAGAAGTAGGAAACTTCTTAAATTTTTCTCTTTTCCCCTCCTCCGAAGCAGTTTCCTCAGGTCTGCCCTCTTGCTGTTCAAGATGATCTAGCAGCTCATCAGTGGTTAGTTCTTCATTGTCCTCCACCACCAACTCTTCCACATCCTCCCCACTAACCTCCAACCCCAAGGACTTCCCCAATGCCACAATGGATTCCTCAACTGGCATAGGATTCTCAGGGTTAGCCTCAAACCCTTCAAAATCCCTTTTGTCTACACATTCTGGCCACAGTTTTTTTCCAAGCAGAGTTCAAGGTCCTCTTAGTCACTTTCCCCCCAAGCCTTACCTATAATGTTTTTCACAGTTGAGGATGGTAAAGTGATCTTTCCAAAACTCTCTTAGTCAGTTGAGTTTCTGAGGTCACTACAAAGCACCTTTCAAACATGACCTGCTGGTCCATGGGCTGCAGGAGAAGAGTGGTATTAGGAGGCAAAAACTTCACCTTAATGAAGCTCATGTCCCTAGAAAGTCGCTCTGCCAAGTCTGAAGGATGACCAGGAGCATTGTCTAATACCAGGAGGCACTTAAGGTCTAATTTCTTTTCAATTAGGTAATTTTTCACATTGGGGGCAAATGCATGGTGTAACCAGTCATAAAAAAAGTCCCTAGTGACCCATGCCTTACTGTTTGCCCTCCACAGCACACACAAATTAACCTTGATGACATTGTTTTTCCTGAACACTCTGGGAGTTTCAGAGTGATACACCAATAAAGGCTTCACTTTGCAATCACCACTAGCATTGGCACACATCAACAGAGTAAGCCTGTCTTTCATAGGCTTATGTCCTGGGAGTGCCTTTTCCTGAGTAATGTACGTCCTGCTTGGCATTTTCTTCCAAAACAGGCCTGTTTCGTCACAATTAAACACTTGTTCAGGTTTCAGTCCTTCACTGTCTATGTACTCCTTGAATTCCTGCACATATTTTTCAGCCGCTTTGTGGTCCGAACTGGCAGCCTCACCATACCTTATCACACTTTGAATGCCACTACGCTTCTTAAATCTCTCAAATCAACCTTTGCTGGCCTTAAATTCATTCACATCACTAGTTGCTGGCATTTTTTTAATTAAATTGTCATGCAACTTTCTAGCCTTTTCACATATGATCGCTTGAGAGATGCTATCTCCTGCTATCTGTTTCTCGTTTATCCACACTAATAAGAGTCTCTCAACATCTTCTATCACTTGCGATCTCAGTTTCAAAAACATAGTTGCACCTTCGGCAAGAACATCTTCCTTGATTGCCGTTTTCTTACCCACAATAGTAGCGATGGTTGATTGGGGTTTACTATACAACCTGACCAGCTCAAGAGACACGCACTCCACTTTCATACTTAGCAATGATCTCTTTCTTCATCTCCATAGTAATTCTCACCCTTTTTGCTGTAGGGTTGGCACTAGAAGCTTTCTTGGGGCCCATGGTGACTTATTTTGCAGGTGCAATCACTACAAAGGCTGTGATAATATGAAATGTTCCAGTTGTATGTTTGGAAGCGACCACGGTGGCTGGCTGGCTTGTAAACACTGGCACCCATGGGACAAGTGAGGCGCGCTCAGGCCAAAGTGGACGTGTCTCGAACGGAACGAATAGCGTTGGTCGGGTTTTTAAGCGCTAGTCGAGGCAAATTTTTTGCGTTAAAATGTATCGCTAGTCGGATTTATCGTTAATCGATGCCATCGCTGGTCGAGGGTCCAATATAAATATAAATATATATAAATATATATATATTTTTTTTTCAACAAGTCGGTCGTCTCCCACCGAGGCAGGGTGACCCAAAAAAGAAAGAAAATCCCCAAAAAGAAAATACTTTCATCATCATTCAACACTTTCACCACACTCGCACATTATCACTGTTTTTGCAGAGGTGCTCAGAATACAACAGTCTAGAAGCATACACATATAAAGATACACAACATATCCCTCCAAATTGCCAATATCCCAAACCCCTCCTTTAAAGTGCAGGCATTGTACTTCCCATTTCCAGGACTCAAGTCCGACTATATGAAAATAACCGGTTTCCCTGAATCCCTTCACTAAATATT